TGTTTATTGTCCGTACTACATAGCCTTTTTTATTTAAAAGGCTATGCGCACTAATATGTATATGTATATATATATATATATATATATAATCGCCTCTATCGAGCACATGCGTTTTTCCTGAACGCTTGGTTTTATGTAGTCCAATCTTGTGTTGAATAGTCTCTCGCGTCTGACTGTGTACTTTAGCAGCGTCATCCTTGCCCTCACCCCTAATTTCTACTCTCTCAATGGTTTTCAATAAGTCATTCACATCCTTTGATCTCGTAGGATTCCCCTTCATATCAATTGGATCCCAATTAATAGCGATGCGCGGCATATAGTATGAGATAGACTTTTTTTAGAAAGCCTAGTCCTGACTCCCTACGTAGAGTAGGGTGTTCATCAGGGCCAGGATTCTCGCTACCATATGCAAGTAGACAGAAGTATTTGAATATATCCTGCGGTAATATCTGTATTGTAATTTCATGCGGAATATTGATCAGATTCTCATACGCGTCCCAATCATGGTCTGGTTGCCAGTATTGTAGAAAATCCTTGTAGTTTTTTGCGTATCGTTTGAGGTTGCTATGCGAGGGAGTCATCTTATCACCTAGTCGCTGACTTACGAGTGCTTGTGGATTACAAACAAACTGCGACGTACTTTGTACATATTTGCGTGCTGTGTTCATTATTTGCTTGTTTACTGATTTTCACTTTAGATTCTGTACAACCGTTTGTGAACTTTTCCAGAAATACATTAGTTCTCTACCAATCGAAACTTGTAGATTCTTGAAGCACGCGCAAAAGTTGTACGAAGTTGCAATATTCGATGGTATTTTCCAACTGTAGGTGCAAAAAAATTGGTCAGGCCACTAATAAAATACAATGGAATATGTGAGAAATACCGCCAGAAATCCATAGTATCTGACCGAAGGCTCATTTGTCAGCCAGTGAGATAGTAGGCTGCAGTCTAGAATCTCCGACAACGGTCCAAAGCAACAGGTACCAGTGTTAGAGTACAACTTGGGTTGTACAACCGACACAATATGTATGTACTGTTCCTGCCATTTTTTTAAATTAAGCTGTATTTTTGAAAGATCCACAAAGTCCAACCTCTTTTTTTTCTGTCGCTTCTTCATTGTTTCACAAAGTCTAAATGATCAAGAACTGTACTTATTTTTAAATTTCAAATCTATCGTGTCTATTTTTTTTGTACAAAAAATCAAAATACACATACAAGATATATTCTCAATTTCTCACTCAGCCCTGCAAGATCCTCTAGCTTTTAGTTCTCACTGTTCTCTTCTTTTTTTTTAAACATTCAAAAAATTATTCTCTGTTCCACAACTTCACTGGTGGAGTGTGGACTGTGGACTGTGGACTGTGGACGTGGTAAATACTATTTTATTTTATTTTTTAAAGAGCCCCTGGAGGAAATAGGCGCACATGTAAATATATAAAATAGCTCAGAATCTGGTGGAATCCTGGCACACACGATGACATGTTCCGTATTGATAAATAGATCTACCAAACTAATAAAACAAAAAAGAACTTGGAGTCGTGGACCGAGCGACTCGAGACTCCGAGAGTCGAGACCCGATGGCAGCGAGACACTGCCACTCCGGACTCTCGAATGGTCGGTCTGAGTAATATCTATTTTTTTAAATCGTCACTTTGTTTTAAAAATATGTATGTACATACTTTTTTTTTAATTATCAGCTAATATGGAGGCCGAGGGCCCGAGGCTTTACTAAATACTCGCTATTTAGTAGAATAGTAGTAAGTAGAGAGAGAGACACACACACCACGAGTCCGCTGGAGGCTGCCTGGAACGAACATATTTATGTGAATAAAGCAACAAAAAAACTACACAGCTCAGGCCTCTCAGTAGTACATAACTACACCTCAGGCTTCAGCCCTTTGCAGAGTGCAGAGTGCAGAGTTGCAGACTGCAGAGTGCAGAATGCATACCACCAGCCTCAGGCAGGTCACACTCTGCACTGACTGCAGGGCACAACTTCGTCAGGGAGTAAATGTTTTTGTATTACTGTTTCATGTTTGACACAGAGAGAGTATTGATTTGGTTGTGACATATTTGTCTTTTTCGAATAGTGTTCTATTTAGGAGGCTGGTATAAAAAATGTTAAAACTTGCAAATGCATTCCAAAGAGGTTTACTGGTTTAAGAACAAAAACAGTTTTTCTAGATACGGAAATAAACTGCTACTATTTTTTAAAACTATAGTAGCTGAGAGATGTAGGGTCTTAATTGTAGGCATCACACAACACCCTGCAGGGAGAAGAGAAAAATCATCCTTGTCCCAGGGGGGATCCGGAATCGACGTTTTCCGAGAGAGCCCCGTCCTCTACAAGGGGGTCATGCATAGTGGTGGTGAACGAGAATGCTGGACATAGTGGCGGTGAACGAGAGAATGCTGGGCATAGTGGCGGGGGTCCTCCTACATAGTTTCTAAAAACTTTTGTCATTGAGTTTGGGAACATTCAATCAATTTCAGAGATGGATTGGACATTTTTTGGAACTTGCTCCTTCACAAACTTGATTCCCTATGAAATTCCGACCTAGAAATTTACAACCAATTATACATGCTCTATAGCAATGTTTTGATAAATCCAACACTCAAAATCAGGACAAATGAACAAAATTTATCATCGTTTTCTTAAAAAGAACTTTGATACGCTTTTATAAGTACGAAGAAGTATATGATTGCAGTAAAACATTTTACTCTGGAATATGAAATCAAAAGGCATCAAAGGCTATATCGCATATTTGTATTTAGCCTACTGATGTCCTTGAATCAATCAAAAGGTGTCTCTCTCGAGCTTCTGCCGCCTTCTGGACGAAGTTTCAATTTGCTTGTGTGACCTTCTCCAACACATGCGGCCTAGTAGGTTGTATTTCGACAGATATTTTTCGTAGTAGCTTCTGACTTCTCCCTTGCTATAAAATAAAATCTTGCTTTCATTGCCGAGCCTTCTCTGATTCCTTCTTCTGATCAGCACTCTGTGCAATAGCGTCCAGAGATTCTACACAAAGCAAACACAAAGCAAACACAATGCGTGTTTGTACGAGTTCTCTTATTAATTAAATATTTAGTTTTATACAGTAAGGTAGCTGCACCTCCTTTAGTGTGAACTGTGATGTTATCCGCCATTTTCACTAGCATGGAGGCCCACGACTTGCTTGCTACAGCTTTGATCTGCCTCTTTTTGCTTGCAATAATGCGTATCCTACTGATGGTGAGTATCATTCTGTACTCATAAACACTATGTGCGGACTTACTCGTGTGACTTACTTTATACTCACGGGAGTGTTTCACTATTTTAGGGCTCTGACTTCTGAGGCTCCTTCGGGCGATTTGTTTTTATTCTTCAGCACCTACTGTCAGAAATCGTACAGATATATATTTTGCTTGGCAATTTTGTTCGTATTGTTCCGGTGATATCCGGCACGAATATACCTCCTACTGACATATACATCTGGCGAACTCACTGCACCGTCAGATCTTGGATACCTTTCTAATGTATATTTTCTGGGCATTGGCAATCGTCGTAGTGTTCTATGTCTGCTTTGGCGACAGACAAGTTCTATTTTCGGCCGTAAACAACAACCTCTTCACTGCACTCGATGGTATGTCTGAGATTAAGAACTTTTGCCTACCGTAAAAAAAATCATATATCAGCTATATATAT